ATGTAACGGGTAGATTCTTTCTTTGAATTTTTTTACTAAAAAAATCAACGACTTTCATACAACATATTCAAGACATTGAGTAATCATTTTTCAAATAAATAAATATTATCAAAGCAACCAAATCACTTTAAACTCTAAAATTAAAATAAAATGGGTTTTTATCATAATTATTTTCTTTTCTTATCGAGCTAGATTTTTTCCCCCAACTCTATATCAAAACACCAATTTTCCTCTTAGCACAATCTGTTGATTTGAACTCAATAAATTTTGAAGAACAAAATTGTCGTTTTTTAGTTTAACAACGTCGAATAACAAAAAATAAACTTAAAACGTTTTTAAACCTTAAATAACATTATTTTTGGCCCAATGACAATTCACACTGATTTTTCATAATACTTTAACTGAAAAAGTTTGGTGTTTTTTTATAGATAAAAGTGTATTAAGATATAGAAATTTAAATTAACACATGTTTTGGTGGTAATAAATATAACAAATGATTGTTTTTATTAATTTTATTTCAAACATTAAAGAATAATAAAGATTATAATAAAAAATAAAAAGTTGTCAAACATTTTATTATAATTAAGTATAAATGTAGTACTATTGTTTCAACCAGTATCATTGTTTCGATAATAAATTAATAATTTCTGAACAATTTTAAAAAATAAACAAGGAAATTTGTTTATTGTCATTCAAATAGTGATTAAATAATAGGCCGAAACCTTATTACAACATTTGTATCCTTCAAAACCCTGTTTGTTTGCCGTTTTTTATTAAAAAACTTAAAGCTAAAAACAGATTAATTAATCCCTATTATATATTTTGATCTTTATTCTTTCTACTGTTATAATATAACATAAAATTGACTAAAATGAATTTGGTTATATTAACATAACAAGAAATCCAATCGCAACAAAAATGGCAACAGAGTAAGCACCGTCCAAATTTGAGATTTCTGAGTTTTCAGTTGTTTCAGAGTTTACTGGTTTTTCTGGATCGGTTGGTTCAGAGGGCTTTGAAGGGTCGACTGGAGTCACAGGTGGATCAACTGGCTTTTCTGGCTCGGATGGTTTCTCTGGTGTTTCTGGCTGTGATGGTTCGACTGGTTTTGGTGGATCCACTGGATCGACTGCGGCTCTCTTTTTGTAGCACTTACCAGCCTGTGTTACAATCTCACAGTTGGCAACATCAAAAGTGTCTAACTGGATTTTAACCCAGTGGTTTTTGACAAGTGTGCATTTGTTGTTTTCAATTGAGAACAACACTTTTGCTGTTGAGTCTGTTGGGAGTTTGTCAAGCCACTCGCCTTTGACGTGGTTTTTGTCGGTTTGATTAATTCTGAATCCAAAGTTGTAAACGTTATTAACACCACCTAAGATGTAACTGAAGCCAAGTTCAGTTTGTGTTGACAGAATGTACGATGGAATGTAATTACCAGCGGGGCAATTGGCATTTGACGTATCAACAACAAATTTGCCCATGATTGGGTTGTCGAGGGGAATCAACATGTTTGCGGGGTATCCACTCCCAGCTATTCCAAATCCATTGCAAATACCACATTGCTTGTAATATTCATTAGCATCCATGTATGTTTTTCTATACCCATCACAGTTGGCATTGTCAAAAATGCTCAACTGTGTGTTTTCAATTCGGACAGAAACACCAGTTGTGATTGTGTAACACTTGCTGCCAATGTTGTTTGGAACATCAAGTTCGTAATTCAACGACTTTCCAAGATGTGTATCAATCCCAACATAAACATGCCAAAATGGGACCGAGTATTGTAAGTCGTTTGGATAAGCCGCAAGTGCTGCAGCAATGAGCAAGAAGACAGAAAACATTGAATGATATAAAGTGCTGTATTTCGTTTTTATACCAAATATTTTGAATGTGATTGTGTGTATTCACACAATAAAAACAAACAAAATATTTTTGGAATATAATTAAAATGATTGATATACACAAAGAGATTTTCATGGATTGGGGTTGGCTGGGTTTTATATGGAATTTATATTATATTTTA